GGTTTTAAAGAATGAAATAAAGGAGTACATATTTCCCTCCACTTATATTAAGAAAAGGGACAAAAGTTAATGCCAAACAGTCTCCTAGTCATAATTTTATATTTTCAGTTTAGTAAAGGTATAATGACTTGTTTTGAGTAGCTCCTGGTCAAGAGGATATCGTGTAACTGTCCTCTACTTAAATACATTTTGTTGAATCGTACCGTAAATAATCCAATTAACCAAACATTTGGCTAGGTCATTCTCTCTGCTTTCAGAGGGAAAAAAGTATGACACAAAAAAATGATTAAAAATAACGATTCCATTCTCTATATGTAACAAATTATTTCCAAGAATTATTGCTGAATATAAAGAAGCGTTAAACGTTTTGTAATATAAGTGCTAAACCTAACTCCTTTCAATTTTTTGAACCCCTCCAGGATAAATCAAGTTGAAAACAGAACAATTCACAATTGAGATATAACATTCTGATGTGTCAGACATGAACTATGTATTTCTTCCCAAATTATGATCTAAACTCACCAGAAAAAAACACCCTATCAGTTTAAAATTGTTTAAATAAAAGTCATGGTAGGTAGAAAGGGCCACCCTTTGTCAAAAGGTAGTGAGAGAAAAAGCTGCCTTTTAACCTATAATTCTAAAAACTGAGTTGTGATGCTGAGAGGTTTCAGAGGAATGGGTACTAATCCACGTCACACATACATACAGTCAGCATTTCCTTCTAACGGAACAAATGGTCCTCTCTCAATACCACAGGGTATTACCCCTAAGGTTTTATTGGGGAGGAAAAAAAACCCAAACTTCAAAAATTGCTTTCGAGCTTGTTTCAACACTCAGTTTTTTCCCTTTAAACCTCGTAAAGACATCACTGTCATTTTTGAACAAACAATAAGAGAATAATATTATATCTGACACTGATATTCTGATTAAAAAACACAATTTCCCCCCTCTTGAGAGGCTACAGGAGAAAATCCACTTCCTGAGAAAGTCTCAAAAGTCACTTACCCATCTACTGAGTAAAGTTGGAGATTATAGTGAACCGCCACTTATGAGAGAGAATCACATTAATCTTCCACTAAATCTTCCTTTCTAGCTCCTCATAAGGCACTGAAGAATTGAAAGAGGATAATTCCTTACACGGACAAAGATCAGATGAGAGACCTTAGTAGAATCCTTCTGCTGCCAGTATAAAGTTGCTTAATTTATTTCCTTCAGTAAGAACAGTGATGAAAATACACACAGAGCCCGCTTTGCTATTTGTGAACAATCACGTATGCTCCTTTCCAAAATATATTCATCCAAAATACAGTTTCCCATTTCAAAAGCAACTTGCATCTGAAAATATTGCAAAAATGAAAGTGCTATGAAATGACAGGGAGGAATTACAAGCAGCCAACTCATTATTCAATCAAGAATTTGGCACAACCATAAACCATGTACCATCTATTTTAATGGATCTTAATTCTCCTGCTATCAGCTGAAATTCCAAATTGCAAATTGAACAATGACTAATGCCAAAATCTGATAATTTTCTCAATTATTCTGTCTGAGAATACTGTTACAAAGTAGGGCAGCACAATCAGTACCATTCTTGACATATGAAACTTGTACATTCTAGAAACTAATATATAAATGCCCCTAAACCATAATACTAGCATTTACCCATTTCCAGGGAAGATAACATTAATGCTTCTCCACATGTGCATTATCACAGGAGTAAAATGGGTAGGTTCCCCAAACAGTGGAATATCTCCAAATCCCAGCAACTACTCTCAGCAATTGTTTCATTTATAAGAGCAATATTTAAGAATAAAATATTATCTAGGCTTTTAAATCAGTTTCAAGTGAGGCAAGCATTCCTAGTCACAAGGTATTTATGTCTCTAAAAATTGTCTAAGTACACAGAACCAAATTATTAAAACTATTGATTAAAAAGGAGCTTTCTTTCTGATCGGTTTTTTAACCACAGGGTGGCACTTTCTATCAATCATCACCTTTATTTATTTCAAGATATATGTCCAACATAGTTTTCTGTAGTGAATTTAGATTATGGTCTTTGTATGAATACCCAACAAATTTTTTAAACAAACAAAAGGAGAACTTTTACTGACTTACGCAAGACGAAGGAAAATTTCACCCCCTGCTTTTCATTAGCAACAAGTAGCTCTTCTCTGTTACTTTCTACCAGGAGCATATTAAATTGTAACAAAAACTGCACCTGGTTATACCAACTATTTATGTTTAAATTAAACATTTCCGTTTTAATGAAATTAAAAACTTAGGATTTTGAAACATTTGTACATCATTTCTCATTGAAACCGAAGATATATTTACATGTGAGTATTTGCAATGCGGAAAGCAAATGCAGCACTTAGGAGAGCATAAAATATGCCCACCTCCACTCCAAAGATCCTACAACAGCGCTTTTTACTGACTCTGTGTCCTACAGAGTGGAGATCCTGTGAAGAAGCAGAGCTGGCCTACATAGACTGAATGTGACCTTGTGAAGATCTGTCGAAAGTATGTACAAATCAGACTAGTTTCATAAGTTCTATAACTATTTTTAAAAATCTAACTTGGCATTCATGTTTATTTTGCCATAAAAAAATGGAGGCAATAATTGCCAGTTAAAAAGATGTCATTCAAAACTTGAACAAGAAAGGTAATATGAACTACATCTTTAATAATAAAGCTTTTTTGGGGGACAGAGAGTCAAGCTTGACAAGGATGACAAGTAAATATAAATAAAAGTACTTAACACAAAAAATAAATTACAACACAAAGTCGAAAAACCCCAGAAAAAAAAAATCACTCATTAAGGAAGATTTGAAATTAACAAGGAAATATAATCTATTTATGGAAAATGTTTAGTCTCGTTTTCATTTTCAGTTGTGAACTTATGGTTGTTTTCTTTAAAAAGAAAAAAACCCCTAGTTTTCCATTCTCCTAGGTATTAACTCAAAGGCAAAACCATAAGGCTCTGCAAACAGTTCTTTTATTTCTTAATACCTGGTATCTTAAATTTGAAATGACTTTCCTGGCCTTTAAGTGATGAAAAGTTTTAGCAACAATTATCAGAACACACTTGAACTTTACTGCTCAGGGCTCAGATACGTACTCCTAAAACTTATTTCCACTCCTCCTTTACTGAATAATCTTGCTTTTTAATATTACTGCCATCTCATTATTTTAGCAAACACAGCATAATACTTACTATACATACAGTCTAGCTCCCTAACCATAACATAATATCCCCAAAGCTCTAGTGAATTAGGAGCTCTTATGTAAGAATTTCAACAATTAACATTCACTTCTGCTTTAACACCACCCAAGTAACCTGCCACAAGTTCAAGATTGTTTATTCCAACACTATACTTCTTTTTAAACTCTCCTCCCAACCAGGAGTAAGACAATCAAGATTAAGGGGCCTATGGCTAAGTCCTGATGGGGGAAGTGATCTAACTGATAAGTAACTAAAGCTAATTGGAAATTATAAAAATTATCCTTGTTGGGGGCCAGCCCCGTGGCCGAGTGGTTAAGTTTGCAGGCTCCGCTGCAGTGGACCAGGGTTTCGCCAGTTCGGATCCTGGAAGCAGACATGGCACTGCTTGTCAGGCCACATTGAGGTGGCATCCCACACAGCACACCTAGAAGGACCTACAACTAGAATATATAACTATGTACGGGGGGGCAGTTGGGGAGATAAACCAGAAAACAAAAAAGATTGGTAACAGTTGTTAGCTCAGGTGCCAATCTTTAAAAGAAAAGAAAAAAAATTATCCTTGTCAACTGTTAGATTAGGTGATCACTAGCTGGACTTCCTAAAAGAGGGAAACTGTTAGAAAGAATGAGTGCCTCAGGAAGCAAAACTGAGTATATGGAATAAAACGCACTGAAAATGGTAAACATGTGGGTAAATACAACTTTTTTTGTTCATTTTCAATTTCTTTAAAACATGAATACATAATGGTTCTCTGGGGTGCTGGGAAGATGAGACTCTTCACCACTTTCCATTTCAGTACCTTAGAAAGCCCACAGGAATATGCAGTACTCGTCAGATCCCATTCCTTTGCCTCATCCGATCCTCCCTCCACTCTGCCCTGCATGCCCAGAAGCAGACCTGTGCAGGTCACATTAGAAAGCACCCTTGCCCTCAAGATTATAGCTAGGTATAGCTGACGGGAAGTATTAAAGAACTCTCAGAGTTTGGGGAAAGCAAGAAGAAAGAGGCTGGTGTCTACTCCCTTGACTTCCTCCCTGGGAAATGACGAAATAAGAATTTTCACAAACCATTCTAAGTCAAACAATGAACCAAATGCCTAAAAAAATGTAAGAATTTCCACACTGATACACAGAACTAAACACAGAAATAAAATTACTGGGCATTATCTAGTCTTTTAAAAACTTTTGATAATATATCCTTTTTTTTTTTTAAGAAAGGAGGAGAAAATGGGAATTCTTTTTAGGTCATAGCTAAATATATTATGTCATATTATGCTATACTATATTACTTAATTTAAGCTATAGCTTAGATAATATTATAAATAGGGCACAGTAGCAGCACATTCTAAGAATTGATAAAAATTGATTATCTATATTTAATTTCTAAATTTTGGGGCCACTATTTTAATTTCAATAAGTGTCTTAATTTAAGAAAAATTAAATATTACTTCAATTAATCACAAAATATCTTATCCAAAAATAACTTAAGAAAACGTAACATTCAATAAAAGACAAAATCATTCAAAGCCATCAACTCAAATACATAACTTACCTTGGCTTAAAACTGTACAGCACTCTTTAAACCAAGAAATAGGCATATAATTACTGAAAGAAACAGCAACTGCACTTAAAGGGACGATCTTACATTACCACTTCATATAGAAGTGGGCAGAAACCACAAATATAACTAAATACAAAGATGATATGTGACACATCAAAATCAAGTATGCAGTAGGATTTTAAAAATATAAATATATATGGGTGGTTATCTTTTTTACCTGCTTTGCAATTTCTCTTAAACAGGCTACTCCTTGTTCAAAATTAGGGAAAGCTACCGAGCCATACTTTTGGTATTCAGGGATTGGTCTGATTTTTATTGTAGCTTCTGTTACCACACCAAGAGTTCCTGAAAAAGAAGGGAGAATAATGCAATATATCACATGCCAATTTTCTAAATCATATTTAAATCTATTTCATCTAATTATTCTATTATTCACATTTAAATCTATCTAGTCTGTTCTATGTGTCGAATAACAGCTACTCAAGTCTTTTTAGAAAACCAACTAAGTAAATTGCACAATTTCTAAAAAACAATTTTTGGAATACATTTTTCTCAGTTATGTATAAATATTTTAAAACATTTTTAAGGTAAACTTTCTCCAAGAAGGTTACTTTTAAATAATTTTAAAAGTATCACAACTTATTAAAAGAAAAAATATCTAAAAAAGAACAGACTTTTACATCTCATATGCATTCATACAAAAGTATATTTTGATATTTGTGCCTATTTTTACTGTGAGAACAATTTATTGGGGCAAAAAGAACTCAACCTTCTATGAGAACTTAAGATGACAGAAGAAATTAGAGGGACTACTACATCTTGCCTTTTTTCCACAATCCATACAAAGAAAAGACAAAGGCAATACTGAGATGTCCGTGTAAGAAACAAAAAAGCCAGATATTTCAGAGACAAAACAATCATTATAAATATCTAGCACAAGAGGAGCACCAACGAAACAAATGTTCTCTTCTTTATTACATGGAGGAGTGGGGGACAAATCAGAGAGGAAAAACGCAAGTTAAATATAACTACATGATCTAAATATCTATGCTAAAATATTTGAAGGGACATGATTAGAAACAATTATATTCACAAAGCCAAGCTTTTCAAACCAGTGGTTTCTGAGGGACAAATGGTAGAAATTATCTTTAATGCTATTAGCAAGTTTTCTGATAATCAGGAAAAAAAGAACAAAGACAGAAATCTTTGAGATTGTAGAACTAATTACACACTAGAAATAAAAAGTATCACAAAAATCAAAGCTTCCAATAAATTTATAATATCCCTAAAATAAAACGTTAATATGTAATACAAGATTAAAAACTACTATGAGTCCATAAAAAGTAAATTACATTACATTTGGTCACAATATGTTCATCACATATATAAATGATTTCTTACTGAGATATGAAGTATCTATTATGACTTGTAAAATCACAAAGGCTTTACAGGTTTGGCCTCATTAATATTTGAATAAAAAACAGATACATCTTGTACATTTTAAATGATAAAGTGACTAGACTTCCTCTTTTATCTTAGCATCTTTACTAAGATGTAATTCACACCCATAAAATTCACCCATTTGAGGGGCCAGCCCCATGCCGAGTGATTAAGTTCTCGTGCTCTGCTTCCCCGCGGCCCAGGGTTTCGCCGGTTCGGATCCCGGGCCCGGACATGGCACCGCTCATCAAGCGATGCTGAGGCGGCATCCCACATGCCACAACTAGAAGGATCCACAACTAAAAATATACAACTATGTACCGGGGGCTTTGGGGAGAAAAAGGAAAAATAAAATCTTAAAAAAAAAAAGATATTAAAAAAAAATCCACCCATTTGAAGTGTAAAATTCAATAGTTTTTAGTATATTCACAGACACATGTAACTATCACTATATAATCTAAGTTTAAAACATGTTTATCACCCCCAAAAAGTAACCCTGTATTCATGAAACAGTCATCCTCCATTCCCCCACACCTACCTCAGCCCTATGCAACCACTTATCTATTTCTGTCTCTATAAATTTGCCTATTCCGGACATTTCATACAAATAGAATCTTACAATATGTGCTCTTTTGTGACTGGTTTCCTTCATTTAGATAATGTTTTCAAGGTTCATCCAAGTTGTAGCACGTATTAAGTACTTCATTCCTTTTTAATTGCCAGATATTATTCCACTGTATGGTATAATTCATTTTGTTTATCCATTCATCAGTAGACGGACATTGGGGTTTCTTGTTTTTTTTTTTTCTACTAGATTACCAGTTTATTATTAATGGATACAACTCGGGAACAGCCAGATGGAAGAGATGCATAGGGCAAAGTAAGAGGGAAGAGGTGCAGAGTTTCCACGCCCTCTCCAGATACACTATCCTCCCGTCACCTCCATGTGTTCACCTACCCAGAAGCTCTCTAAAACCTGTATTTTAGGGATTTTTAGGGAGGCTTCATTACACAGGCATGACTGATTAACCCATTGGTCATTGGTGACTAATTCAACATCCAGCTCCTCTCCCCTCCCCAGAGCCGAGGGAGTGGGGCTGAAAGTTCCATAGGTTTCCACTTTTTGGTTACTATGAATAATGATTCTATGAATATACATAAGTACAAGTTTTTGTGTGGACATATGTTTTCCTTTCTCTTGGATATATACATGAAGGCTTTCTTAATTTCAGAAAAAACTTTAATTCTATTCCATATAACACTCTGCCCTCAGTTACCTTTTCCTGAGGCTAAGTTCCAGGTGAGTGTATCCAAGTGTGTGTGTGGAGGGGGCTGGGAGGCTCACTTCTTGCACCCAGCCTTAACTGGTGGGATAGAGGCTCTACTTTGAGTGGTGTGCTAATACTGTGTTCCCAATCACCCTCGCCCTGGCTCATAAAGGGCTGGTACCACGCAGGAGAAGCAAACCGAGAAGACCTACTTTCCCTCTTCCTTCCCCTCAGCACTTAGCTCCTAAAGCAGGGGTGTCTTCAGAGAAAAGCATGCCATTGTCCCCACCCCCACCCTCCAGAGCCATGGCTCAGAGACTGCCTGAGAGAAGAAACAAGCCATAAGACAGCTCCTAATCTCTTTCCAAAAGAAATTACTTTACTTTCAACAGAGCACAGAGAAGTTCAAGCCTAAGAAGACTCATGAAAACAGTGGAGGATGTGGTAAAAGGCAACTGGAAGGACACAGGTAAATTTACTGGCGATACAAGCAAAACTGTAGGTCAGCTAGTTTTCCTGGTTAGAAACAGAGGAGATGCTAGAATCTGAGCTAGAGCAATCAGGCAAGAAAAAGAAATAAAAGGCATAAGAATTAAAAAGCAAGAAGTAAAACTGTCTCTATTTGCAGATGTCATGACTTCATACAGTGAGGATCCTAAAGACTCAACCAAAAAACTGTTAGAACTAACCAACAAATTCAGTAAAGATGCAGGATACAAAGTTAACATACAAAATAGTAACATTCCTATACACGAACAATGAATTTTCTGAAAAAGAAATAAAGAAATCTATCCCATTTACAATAGCATCAAAAACAATAAAATACTTTGGAATAAATCTAACAAGGAGGTGAAAGATCTCTACTGTGAAAACTACGAGACACTGATGAAAGAAATTGAAGACGATACAAATAAATAGAAAGGTATTCTGTGTTCATGGATTGGAAGAATTTATATTGTTAAAATGTCAACATCACCAAAAGACATCTATAAATCAACACAACCCCTACTAAGATTCCAATGGCATTTTTTACAGAAATAGAAAAACACTCCTCAAATTCATATAAAACCACGAAAGATCCCATGTAGCCAAAGAAATCTTGAGAAAGAACAACAAAACAGGAAGCATCACACTTCCTGACTTCAAGCAATACTAAAAATCTATAGTAATTAAAACAGTATGATACTGGCATTAAAACAGACAAAAAGACCAGTGGAACAGAATCGAGAGCCCAGATATAAACCCAAGTATATGCAGTTAAGTAATACTTGACAAAGGAATCAAGAATACTTAACGGAGAAAAGACAGTCTCTTCGAAAAATGGTGCTGGGAAAACTGGATATTCACATATAAAAAAATGAAACTTGACTCCTATCTTACACCACTCACAAAAATTAAGTCAAAAAGACAAATGTAAGACCTAAATCCACGAAACTCCTAGAAGACATACGAAAAAAGCTCCCTGACATGGGTTCTGGTAATGATGTTTTTAGAAATCACACTTAAAGCGCAAGCAACAAAATAAAAACCAAGTAGGACTATATCAAACTAAACAGCTCCTAGGGGCCGGCCCAGTGGCGCAGCAGTTAAGTGCACACATTCTGCTTCAGCAGCCCAGGGTTCACCAGTTTGGACCCCAGGTACGGACATGGCACCTCTTGGCAAGCCATGCTGTGGCAGGCAGCCCACATATAAAGTGGAGGAAGATGGGCACGGATGTGAGCTCAGGGCCAGTCTTTCTCAGCAAAAAGAGGAGGATTGGCAGCAGATGTTAGCTCAGGGCTAATCTTCCTTAAAAAAAAAAAAAGCTTCTGTACAGCAAAAGAAACCATAAACAAAATGAAAAGACAACCTATGGAATGGGAAAAAATATTTGCAAACCATATATCTAATAAGGGGTTAATATCCAAAATAAATAAAGAACTCATAAAACTCAATATCAAAAAACAAATAATCTAAAAAATGGGCAAAGGACCTGAATAGACATTTTTCCAAAGAAGACATACGAATAGCCAATAAGTACATGAAAAGATGCTCAACATCACTAGTCATTAGGAAAATGCAAATTAAAATCACAATGAGATATCATTTCATGCCTATTAGAATGGCCATCAAAAAAGACAAGAGATAACAAGTGTTGGTGCGGATATGGAGAAAAGGGAACCCTTGCGCACTGTTGGTGGGATTGTAAATTGGTACAGCCATTCTGGAAAACAGTATGGAGGATGCTCAAAAAATTTAAAATAGAACCATCATATGATCCAGCAATTCCACTTCTGGGAATATATTCAAGGGAAATGAAAACACTAACTTGAAAAGATATCTGCATTGTCATGTTCACAGTAGCATTATTTACAATAGCCAAGACATGGAAACAATCTAAGCATCCACTGACGGACAAACAGATTAAAAAGTTATATTTATATACAATCTCTCAGTATTAAGATAAGTAAGTACTAGGGATGTAATATACAACATGATGACTACAGTTAGCACTGCTGTACAATACATAGAGAAGTTGTTAAGTGAGTAGATCCTAAGAGTTCTCATTACAAGGAGAATTTTTTTCTCTTTTCTTTTTTATTTATCTGTATGAGATGATGGATGTTAACTAAACCTGTTGTGGTAATCATTTCA